GCAATGCTCTTAGATCGTATTACCTTTTTCTCTGCTTCCATCGAATTTCTAAACTAACCAATAATGTTGCGCTAATAAGAGCGGCATCACTTCAAATCTTCTTAAATTGAATGATTGTAAAAGATTATCAATATCCTCAGGTCTGTTGCTAGTAGCCAGAGGTCTGTGAACTGAAACATTTAAGCTAATTAAAAATGATCAAATACTTCCATTTGGTTGCTAGCTTTAGTTGCAATAATTTATAGAAAAAAATAAAAATAAATAAAAAAAGAATAGAAAAACAGCTACAATAATATAATAGAAACAAGTAAATAATTATGAAAAAATTGATGTATTTAAAAAACAAGGGAATTTTTCAAATAATGAAACACAATTTTTTTTTATAAGGATCTAAATACGAATGCGAAAAAAGAAAAATAAAAATAAATAAATTTGTATTTACATGTATAATGTATAAACTCATGCAAAAAAAAAAAAAAGAAGAAGAACAATGAATCAATAAATAAATAAATCAATTTAATATATATATATATATACGTATATACATATGTATTAAAAATATTAAAAATATTATAAAAACTTTTATATATTTAACTAAAAGCTTTACACACACTTTTTCTATACTTCTTACTTACTCTTAACGAAAAACATTTAGAATTACACTTAAAAAAAAAAGGAAGCGAGAAATAAAATACAAAAATGAAATTTCAATACCCAAGTCATATCACTAACCAAAGTATCTTTCGAATATAAATTACAATAATAATTACAAAATTTGAAATTTAACAAAAACAAAAAAGAAAATACCAAACAGTTTGAAAACAAGTACAAAAATCAATTGAATATTTATTTAAAATAAGAAAAAAATTGAAAAATACAAATAACAATAAAAGTTATAAGCAAAAAATTCAAAACATTTTTAGCGAAAAATAATCTAAAAATAATTAACAATAATACATACATTGCTGGATATTCGTATAAATGCAAACAATAATGTTGGTCTCTCAGAGCTTTACTCTTCTTACAAGCGAAAAATTTTCTCTTTACAATCAATTTTATAAGAAAAATGGAAATTACATGGGACGGTGTACCGTCCTCGGGGTCGAGCAAACCCGATGTCGAATCTACATTTCGGATTGATTAACTCCGAACATGGAGCCATTTTGCATATTAGCCGACCGTGTCCTTGTCTTAGAAGGTCAACCTTCAGCTCTCTCTCTGTTCGCCTTAGTCTCTTTGGGCATCCGTTGATGTTGCCGGGCTTAGGGTTGCCGGGCACTACAAGAATTAATAAAACTAATTCTGTTAAGGACACCGAGGAGAAGCGTTCTGGCCAATATTCCTCTCTCGAGGATAAGGACATGCTGATAAATAGTTTTAGCGAATCTCAAACGATCTTTCTGCACATTATAAGTCATACAATGCCTTTTCAAATTTACTCAAGTTGTGTTGATTTTTACACATTTCCTAGGACGTACCCTAATCAAATCCTTTTTCCTTTGAATCAAGTATTCAAGTGGAACATGTTCTATGAACAATTAACCAATATAAATACATAAAAGTATTCTCCTCAACTAAATACTCCTGTAAATCTGTGCAAATTTTACGTTCGATTTCGCTATCGAGTACCATCAATCGTAGACGCGATCGTATCATGTTTACCTTCCGTATAGTACGATAACTCCTCTCTCCGACATCACCTTTGTTCGTATTTCTGTTAAAGGTTCATTGACTTTCATTTTTTCTGATTTCGAGGTATAAGTAGCTTTATTGTCTGTACTAACTGACTTGGCAGCGTCTGCTTCTTCAGCAGACTTTGCTTTGTACTTCCAATAATCAGCGCTGGGACTAATTTACTATGCTCGATCAGAACTTTTGCGTACGGGTTTATAGCTCTCGATTATCGCGAGTCGTTGCATTGTTGGCAGTCGATAGAGTATGAATTGTTCTTAGCGAATAAATTCTCGATGACGACATTGCTGTTGAGTAACATATTTATTTTATTTATGTATTGAGCAGAGTAATACAAGGCCATCAATGAATATGTTGCATTGAATTTAGCCTAACTTTTATAGAAATATAGATAGATAACTTAAGTATTGATGTTCGAATGATCTAAGTTTGACTTGTTCACAAGTTCTCCTTCAGCATATATGAAAGTGAAAAGAGCGGGAAAACATACGAGGTTCGTAACGCAAGCAGCTCCATCAACGTACCAGCACTATCACAGAGGACTTCTCACGTATCGATCCAAATATCCCAGGAGTGCTTGAAGGAAAACCTGAGCATAGATTCTTCAAAGATCGCTGAAAAATAAATCTACGACATAAGAAAGAGGGAGAGAGCGATTTCCAATCGCATAATGAAACCAAACTAGGGAACATAAAGTAAGATAGTGTTATGAAATGCAAACATTTAATGCAATTAATAGGCGTGAAGTCCATTCATTGTGATTAGCCACCGGAACGCTAAAATCTTAACAAAAGTGAAAGGTTTTTTGCGATGCGTTTCTGATGCCGCCAAACAAACGGCTGTTATGAAAAAGAAATTAAGAAAAAAGTATCGGAATCCATCCTTCTTTTCTGTTTTGCTTATTTATTTATTTTTTCTTCTCCTTTCCTTTTATTTGCATGGGTAGTGTTATTCAAAGTCTAATGGTATCTATCACCAATGCTGGGTCGTTTATGACTGATTTGAAACACTTTTCTTGCAATCGAGTTGTACAAACTCACGAAGCGATACTATCGAGCATGAACCACGTCGTCGATATCGAGTACCGTAAACTGGCCGCTGGCTGCAAGCTGTATTCAAATTTCCTCTCACGACCAGCCTATTTTTGTTTCTTTCCGCTCTATGTCTACAAGTTACGGCAGGCAAACTGATTGTTATCATTGGCGGCTAAATAAAACTCTTCAAGACTAAGAACTAATTGTCGAATCTCGCCATATTGCAGTCGGTGTTAAAGCAAAATTTGATAACATGTAGTTGTTTAGATAGAACTAAACAGAAAAGCGGAAGCCCTACAAGATATAAGTGCCAGTCAAAGCACATTTATTAGGATATTGTGGGATAGTTACACACCAAAGAGTGACGCTCTCTACAAATGGCGACGAGAGAACACTGCAATTAAACTTTATCGAACCAAAAGAGGAAAACGACTTGTCAGGATATAATAGTCAACTAGATAGGCAGTCGATTTGTAACAAGTGGCGCAATTAAGCAGGCATTTTGAACTCTATTGGAATTCGTGATATCGAACTAGATTTACAGCAACTCGTTGCCAATCGTAACCTGTCGCGTTTCAGAAGTTTAACGTTTTGGTAGGAAAACCGAAACTTCACTTATCACAATTACATCCACACATTTATTACAGTGTATGGTAACTTATCGTTATCGTCGAAACAGGTATAGGAATTGGAATACACGCGCTGGAAGCGGCCGCTATACAAGAAAAAATTAGTTGCGATAACATTGTTTTCGAGTAACGATACCTGAAGTAGCGATTAATGTTAACAGCTAAGTCGCGATATTATGATAAATGGGCTCGACTGCCACTTGTGACAACTCGATTCAGTTCAAGGATGGCGCAGATATTACTTAATGAAATGTTTTTATGGGGCCATATTTGTTGATTCTTTTGCTTTTCTGTCCTTATAATCCCTTCTATAAAATTTACAGGTTGTCTTTGAATTGATGCCATTGTTTCGAATACAAAGTCTTGTAAGCAAATTTCATTTAATGAAAAAACATCAGAGATTTGATTAAAAATTTCCAAATTCTTTTCAAGGTTAAATAAAGTGTTATGTTGCTTTGTTTTTCGCACTAAAGGTATACAATGTCTTCGCAATGAAAGTTTCCTGTTAGCCCTAAATAAACTCTAACATGTTTTAATAACAATTTGCATGCTTTTCTTTCTATTCTGAGTATCTTGAATAACCTATGAATTTGTTTCCCATAAATTGATTAAAGCGAATTACAATACCGATGAATTGTTTATCTATATGCTAAGAGGACTAACTAGCTTGCGTTTATCATGAATAAAAGTAAAATCAAAAATAATAAAAAAAAATTCATACAATCATAAATTAAAAAGTTCAATAATGACAAAAAAAAATTAAAAAAAAGAACGTAAAAATAAAGAAATATTTTAATTTTAAAAATTCGAAGAAAATTAAAAAAAAACAAAATGTAAATAAGTTAAAAATAATAACAATATGTATATATATATATATATATAAATCTTATTTAAACTTTAAGGAAATCTTAAATTAAATGATTAGTTTTATAAAGTAAGTAAATGAATAAAACAAAGAAATATGATGAACCGGTGGAGAAAAACCATGAATAAAAACTAAGGTTTAAAAAGAACATATTTATGCATGCAAATGTTAAAATTCGTTGAGAGAAAAACAGAAAAACAAAAACAAGTGTTATTATATTGTAAAGGAAGATAACAAAACACACACACACACACACACACTACACCCAATAAAAGAGAATTCAAAAAATTATTAAAAGAAGAAAATTTGTTAAAAATATTTATTATTAACTGTAATTGTATGCGCGTTAACAATTGAATATTTAACAAATAATTAAAAGTAAAAAAAAAAAAAAAAAAAAAACAAAAACAAAAGAAGAATTATAGAAGAACAAAAGAAAAAAAAATTCAAACAAATGTTAACAAATTACCGAAAAAGTTATAAACTCTAGTGTCACCGACAGACAGACAGACATTCATAAATGCATATTTATATCTCTGTAGTGTAAACTGAAAATGAGGAAAAAGCAAGAAAAAAACAAAAATAATAATAATAATAAAACATTTTAAATAACGAGCTAAATAAAAATCAACTAAAATATTATTATAAATAAAGAACAATAAAACAAAATATTTTACATTATTATTATTATTATTATTATTATAATTATAATTTTTCTTTTGTCAAATAAACTGAATATAAATTTAAAAAAAAAAAAAAAAAAAAACTGCATTTTGTTTTCTATAACAATTCACTCGATATCTTTCCCTAAGCAGTTATTAATGAAATCTCGCTTATGCTGGCACTGGGGATTCCATGTGTTCCAGTAATCCATAGGGCACTGCGTAAGCATTTCATTCTCTACACACAAGTAGACAATTTCAGGCAATGGATTGCAACCGCGACTCTTAAGTCGTGCCAATCTATTCGAGTGCAGATCGTTAGCTGTAAATAAAAGATCATTTGAGATCATTTTTCTTATCTTCATTAGCCGACGTTGAGAGCGTGAGTTGATAACTATGACCTACCTTTCGATACACATTTGCGAAAAGCTTTTCTATAAATCTCAATAAACGGATGATTCGCAGGAAAAATCCAATTAATATAATCGTAGGCTTTTAAATAATTGCATTTACTTTTATGGCAAATATTGATCGCATTGAAAACACAATCGTAGTAACACTAAATATTTAATAAATTAATGCGATCGTGATTTGATTTCTTGTTAGTGGATCTTTCGAAGACACAACTTACTAGGTTCGCTTTCGCTGGTGCACGCTTAACGCAAATCTTAACCGTACCGTACGGAAATATTTGAGGATAATTGCAGCAGGTTCGAGAGGCCTTCAATTAAAGGAAAAGTTTATCTAATTTTTCTCTCTTAAGAAAGCTTTAGTTCCGAATACAACTTACAATGGATTTTGGAATTTTTGTGCATTCATGTTTAAAGCCTGGTATTGATAGAGTTGCCTATAATAAGATTTTTTATTAGCACTTTATATTGAGTCGTTTAAGAAGAGAAATTGTGTTCATCTTTAGAACGATGATTAACAATTACACATCTGTACATATTGAATCCATGTATATCTATCACAATAACAGACTAAGGGCAGAAATACGTCCTGATCGGTTGTTCTTTGTAAAAATACTATAGTGGGCCATGGCCTACCGTTAAATACAACGCCCTACAGCACACATCGACTTTTCAAAATAAAGTATTATATGAGAAGTGTTCACGAAAGTGATCTGATCCCAAAAACTTTTTCAATAGCGTTCGTCGTTGAGGAAAGACACGTCAGTGTATCAAATTTCACCATTCAAGAGAGCAAGGCGAATAGACGAACAAGTATGACTTTGAAAATTAAACCTTTTTGTCATATGAACTTTATATGAGAGAGGGTTCAAAAAATTGCCCAATTCGGTCTAAAGTTTTGATGTTAAGTTAGTAGGCCGAAATATTATTACCTAGCCACATTTATCAAGAAATTGCGATAATTGGAATTTTGGCGGGTGGGTCGCTGCAAATCATTTTCAATAGCGTATCTGAGAAATTGCGATCTATAGCTTGAACACAAGTTTACATGGACAGACATCAGACGGACAGACGGATTGGTAAGCTTAGGTGTAATAAGGAGTGCGTCCATTTCAAATCCTGTTAGGTGTGCGGTATTAAAAGAAGACTTGTCTCTACTTCTACTTCTGCTTCCAGAAAGGTTAAAATATGTACATAATTTAAAGCATTGTCCTTTGCTAAACACAAATGTTTCCCTATCTTTTTGAGGGAACATGAAACTAAGAGACAAAGTTCAGTATTTGCGTTCGCAGAACAAAGTTGCAGTTTCTATAAATAAAGTGAAGTAACTCCTTGGCAAAACCAATAACAACTTAGATGCACCCTCGGTATGTAGTACTTTGAGGACGTAAAATGTTCACCATTTGGAACTTACACTACAAAATCGTACTATGGCCAAATGCAAGGCATAACAAAAATTTTATGGGTATAAAGCGCGAGATAATGAATGACTGGTGTAAAAATGATGCATGATGAATACAGCCGCTTGTCGAGAATCCTGGAAAGCAGACGTAAGACGCTATGACCAGACCTGCAAAGCTAGAAAAGTGGACTATTTACAGAAAAAGAACAGGCAGATTACTTCCCTTTGGTGAACTAAAAGGAAAGAGAACCGTGAGAAAATGGCGGAGTGAGTTTAAGGATCGGGAATATGAACGTCCGACTTTGATTTGCATTATTGTTGCTTGTATTATTTTTAAGACATGCAAGCTTCAACCGGTTCACAAGATGCAAGTGTCTTCCCGTCTTAAAGTTTATAGATGATGCTATTAGAGCATAAAATCGCTTAATTATGCGTCTTATGCGGCAAACCGCCTTGGCCTTGTTATAGATCAAATCTATAGATCAAATTTATTCTGCAGCTATTCACAGCACTATTATCTTTCAACCATATCGCCAAGAAGAAATCGTTCTGCGCTCTATCGTCCATCCGGAGAGATGCAAACTTTTCAGCAGTGAATTCACCTGGACCGGTGCTGAGCCAATTTTGGTTTACGTAATAGAAATAGTAACACTTGCATGCAATTATAAGCAAGAAGAAGAAGAGCAATCGGATTAAAACGCATTGGAAAATTTTTGGGTTTAAATTACACTTTCAAAGGCTGCGTTTATTCGCACTAGACGCTAACCTGTGGTTAAAAGCACTTAAAAATTGTTTTTTGAACACAATCAAGAAACAAGAATCGAAAAGTTTAAAGTATTGCTATTAGGGAGTTATTGGGGTTTATTTCATGAAACTTATGATCTGAAAATTTTATTTAACAGTATAAAATTGTCTCTTTTTAGTTGATTTTTACCCCGCTTAATATTAATAGTCGTAGGAGATGCAAGCTAAACATTTTATTTACTTTTCGGATTTATTTAGTTTGTTTTTTTGTTGGCAAATGTTATTGTCTATACGTTAAATGTTGTTTAATCAAGTGTTAAATTCAAACTAAAATAAAAATAGTAATAAATGAGCCAGTCTGCTTGTCTGTCTATATATGACAAATACTCCGGAAGTATCTTATCAGCGCAAATGAGTCTAATGTCTAGGCAAAGATAATTATGAGACGAATAAATAATTAGCATATGAAAATGAGTAACGGCTTTTTCTTCTTCTCAGAGGGACTAAGGAGGTTCAAGTGAAAAAACTTAGGCAACAATTGCTTCCTTGTGCTCGCTAAGTACACATACATTACGTAAAAGCAACCGCATTTTTTAATGCCTGTCATAAGATTGCTTTAAAGGAACAAAAACACATTCAATACATTATGTATCCCGCCCTTTATGCATAAACATTTTATATGCAATGTTTACGGACAATCAAAGTTGATTTTCAAGCCTTTTATATCCCACATCGAGAGCTAAAAACGTATCGTAGGTTCATTCGTACGCATCAGAGCCTTTAGAACATCCGTGTTAGGTGAAGGAGAAATTTTGCGATTTTTTTAGTAGCAGATGGATTAAAAGTTGCATAGCTTTGGTTATATTCAGCCTATCAAATCATATGGTAGGGAGTGTGAAAAGTGAAAGCCTGTAGACAATTAAGGAAAAAACAAATAAAAAAAAATTCACACAAAACTAACTACGTTTTCTGCATTCTATACCATATCGTGTCATCTAACAGAGTAAAGATATGCAACGTTGTGAGAAAAATGGCGATGTTTGCAGCAAAGATGCTTGATAAAAATCTTCGTCACAGAACAAGTTCCCTTGTTTCCGCTCTGGAAATGTCGATGAAATTTTTCCAAAAGTTTATTCTTCAAGTGGAAATTGAAGTTCCCTCGAATTAATCGAAAAACCTTTCGGAATCATTTGCATCGGCTGGATGCAAAACGAACCTCGATATTTAAACACCATAGGTAATAACGGTGAAACATTGGCCCAACTGAATTTGCAGCCGCAAATCGCTGCTGAAACGAAATGGAATCGCAACATTCTTGCGGAGATTGATAAAAGGTAACATCAAAAGGGCGGCCAGATAATAGGCTAATAGCGTCCGAAAAAGATCTTGGAACAAGACGGTTGAAGTTGCACAATGGATAACAAAGCTTTGATTAACACTACGTAAACGATTCTTTGTGTTTGCTGGGGTTGAAAGGAAATCGTGCATCCATTGTGGCTCTATCTGCTTCTATCAGCAACTAATACAGTTAAAGCGCGAAACTAAGACGCATAAGCATAAAGATTAATAGCTCCGTATCAGCAGACGAGTAGATAAGGTTGTGTCAGCACAAAGTCAGCGTGCGCGAGTTGAAATGTCAGAGCGGTAGAGGCATAGGAGGCAGTAGCAGAAGAGTAAGTGCCCAATTAACCCCAAAACATATTGTTTATCAATTGGGCACGCACCCACCTGGCTCCATATCTCTTTTGTAACTTTGTTAAAAAAGGCGTAAGCAAATCAGTTGGTTCAGCTTTTCAGCAGCAGAAATCTGAACAGTGTACAGTAAGAGCATTATGGGTTTTGCCATAGAAATAGCAAAAAGTCATCGTCAAGACGGCGCACGGTTGGCTTGATTTAGAATGTATGGAAAAAACAAATTCCATCTTTCTGGTGAAATAACACCAGGGAATTGTTTTCCCTCCGATATATTAGCCCGATCAGCTCGTTGATTTCGGGATGAGTTAGCTGGTTTAGGTGTCCGCTTTCCGCTCGTCTGTTGCTGTCTGTTTGGACCAGCACAACATTTGAGAGCCACATCCTAACTTGGAACTGAGCGCAATTTTCCCACGGCTTAAACATTTGAACAACCCATGTCATTAATATCCACTTATTAGCTCACGTAGGTAGGTTTGACTTACTTCACATTACAATCAATATATTATTATCATTAAAAGTATTGTTACGAAAATCCCAAATTCAGTTAAATGTCAGCTAAGTAATTTTCGTAAGAATAAATTCCCTAAAGAAGGGAAAACCAAATGAGCATTCGCAGGCGACTCATGCAGGTGCAGGCCAATGAAAGCGATTAGTGGAAAAGCAAACAGGTAAAAGCTAAGTGCATATTCGCAGGCTCGACATGCAGGTGCAGGCCGATGGAAACGATTAGAGGAAAAACCAGGCTGGGATTAGACCATAACGATAAATTTAGGTATAGTAACATTCTTGTAAAATTGTATATAAATCGAATATTTGTGAAAAGCAGAGTTAGTCTGGCAAGAAGTGCATTTCTCTTGATCAAAATATCCACGATCTAGTGATACGGACTGTATCTTGTAAAAAGCGAATTTCATAACAGTATTAATTATTATTATTCTACTAAAGCTTTAGCAATTAAAAATTCTACCGATCTTGAGATTTGAGCCCACGATCATCGACTTGTCACTCGAGATCGTTTGCCTACTCGGCCATTCAGGCGGATGAATGAATATAACCTTTTAGCAGCTGTTCTGTTTACTTAGAAAAACTTGGCACACCTTCCAAAGGACTGCTTCAAACTATATTTAAAACTTTAGGTAGAATTTAATTCTACATTTAGGAAAAGAGCAAATTTGGTTCTTTTTCGCAAACCTTAACCCAACTTAACCCAATGAAAATGAACAGCAAGAATATAAGGTAGCTAAGGTTTTTGGAGGGCGTTTACATGATTTCAATGCATCCAAACAGGGAGAAGACTGAAGAAGAAGACTGTGTTTCCGCTTTCCAAGCTAGCTGTCCGGCGCCCATTTCAACTTTCTTCAGCTCTATAAGGGTCACAAGAATAGAGTAATTGTTTTCACTTACCGGCCAGTTTTTCGTTCAAACTTTCACTTGTTTTCTTGCCTGCATTCACATCAGTTATGACAAACTTAACGTATACCCCTAACGGGGTAGCGAGTAGAAAAGCAATTAATATAATTATTGCGAATAGAATGAGGCCTAACTTAAGTGAATTAAATTGAATAGAATTGAACTGTATTCAGTTGTATCATAACACATTGTTAACAATCTCTGCTGCAATATTAGCACATAGATGATTATTCAAAAGCTCATATATGTACGTATATATATATATATATATATACATATGTATGTATCTGCATCTGTAGAAGGGAATTAATCAATGCGAGGTGACAACGCACGTAATCTCAAATATTCTCCTCCTGTGTCAGGTGTATTGATTTCTTTTTGTTTACCATCATCAGCTACGCCTAACGTTATCGAAGCAATTAATGCGTAAATTGATGGTAAGCTTTGTCTTATTCCGTGCATAAAACCTTGTCAGTTTGTTGTTTGTTCTTTCGCACTTTTCGATGATCTATCTCTTAGGATGTATTATGAAATTTTCTTTAAAGGTCAGTGTCCTTGTGTGACTTTTCAAATATTCGTTTAGTCCGAAAACGTATAAACAGATGGGGATTTGTAATGTGTCAGGTCGTCTTCTTTTTTTTTTTTTCTTTTTCACAAAAAAGTTCTTTGAACTTTGTATGTAGAATGTTTTGCGAAAGAAGTCAAAACAACTTATCTCTAAAAGGATGATTAAAATTTTGTTTTCTTCCTTTAAACCTTAAAGCTATAAATAGATTTTGTTCATCATAATCGACATAAATGAAAATTTTGTGTTGTGTGTCATTACTATTAAATATCAATTATTAAGCCTATTGAACTAATATCGTGTGATATATTAATGCTTGGAAAATTTATTTGTTTATTACAAAATTCACTTGTTTTCACTTTAAAGTTTCTTTTGTACATATGTACTGCCGGGATGTGATATATGTGGCATATTAAGTACATCGTTTAGCAAAATTAATTATTTAATTATAGTACAGTCGGCCAGTTTTAATTTCCTTGCTTTCAAAGTCAACGTTTTATTTTTTCTTTGCTATGATTGCTGTAACCTTGTTGTTCTGTTTTGTTAGTTTTGCTTTAAAAAGTACAAAAAAAAAAAAAATAAAAAAAAAAAAGTTGAATGCGTATACACTCTTTAGAAGTTGTAGAACTTTTGAATGAATTAATTTCAGATTTTATTGTTTTCAACAAAGAAGAAACTTTTCAAACAATTCTGTACATTTTATATTTATTTGTTACAGCTGTTTGAATCCAACTTGTTAGAAGCAACTGCAACAAGCCGTAGCAGCTACATTTACATTTAGAAAGACGACTACTAACGAAAGATGAGAATGTTGTTGTTGTTGTTGTTGTTGTTGCTATTGTAGTTATGGGCGTGTCGGAAAGTTTACTTAACCATGCGTTACTCATTGTAGTTTGTAAGCATGAAAAAAAAAATCGAGTGAGTGGTTAATCGAGATCCTTTGCCTAGTCGGCGATTCTGTTTTTTAATTATTGTTGTTGTTTTCTTTATTATAATTTATAGGATGAACACTGGCAGCCAAGGTTATCGGCTCTCGCTTTATTAAAAATAAAGTTAAATATTTATTTGCTTAGCTCAGTCTTTGCCTTCTTCCATATGTAAGCGCGTTAATGGTCAACCAGGAGAGGAGAGCAGCATTAGAAAGTATATGTGTTTTGGTATAATTGATCTGAAAGCAGCAGCAACTTGTTTCAACTGTGAGTAGCCCACTTAAAGAACGAGTAAATTCAGTAATATGTTGTAGGACTATATTAGCAAATATCGCAAGAGAGCGTGAGAAGCCCGCGAAAGCCGAATGGTCTTTTTAAAGGATTCGATTGATAGATAGTTCTCTTTGTAGGAAACTTCAATTATAGGTACATGTATCTAAACATAGGGACGCCAAAGCTACCTCAAAGTATAGAAAGAGAGAGAGAGAGTATAGAAACTGGCATCAAATCTTCTAAAATAACACAGGAAAGAAACTTCACTTTTCTACCTTAACTTTTCCGCATTAAAAAATCTCATCTTAAGCAAAGCAAAGACTAGAGAATATCATGAATTCATGAACGAGTAAAAACACTTTCGTGGGCCGTGGCCCATAGCAAGAAAGCAACACCGACATGCGAACAGATGCGCACAAATCATATCAGAGAGTCGTTCTGAATCGATCGCTGTAGTAAA